ATGAATGAGGATTTGATGTCTTATATAGGCAAAGTACATAGCGCGGGAAAATAAGGAGAGATAAAAGAGAGGGAGATCATGCAATACAATAATTGGAGGCAAGGATGGGAACGCATATGCAACAAAATGAATCATTTGACTGTACTATTGGTTTAAAGGGGCACATTATAATTGACGCTATGAACATGTGTTAAGACAGTAATATTACACCTATGGATATATGTGTAAACACTTGACCAGTTATAATATTCTTGAAATTTCGCGACTTTCGCGACATTTGCAGGGTATAAAAAAAACTTTGGAATTCAGAAACTTTGCAATCCAGCTAATCAAAATACAAAATTCCGTTGTTTTATTCCATTTTCAAAGATTTTAAACCTAAGGAAAATCCAGAAGTAAAACTATATTGATTTTTCAGCTCCTAATTCAACGATCGAAGATACAGCCTATAGCGGAGGATGCTTTCAGCGATATCACTGGTGTACATATACAACTCGAGTACCATTTTACCTGTACAGTTTTGCAGCGACAGTTCTTTTCGGACTAGCATTTCCATTCTTGGCTTCACCTCTCGGTGCACTTTATTCTGAAATACTCGGACCGAGAAGTCAGGTTAGTGCAATTCAGAAATTAACAAGTAAATAAGAAATAAAACTAATTTAATTCTAAATATCTCCCTTATATTAAGTTTTTTGTTTTAGTTCTACTTACAAATTTGTTTTATATTCATTTAGAGAAGTAAATCCCAATCATATCGACGTATGTTATTATAATTTACTAAATTACAAACTTTTGAAATCTATTAGAGATTTAGAAATTTTTTCCAACTTTTTTAATGGATTTCATTAATAATTTTTATGCATATCTTGGATATTAATAGTGATAACGTGTATGATGTCCTTCCTTTTAGCCATGATCTCGAATCTAACTCATCATACTAAGTTGAAATTGAACCAAACTTAACTAGTTTAATTAAATTTTTAGTTATACAAACTAATTATCGGAGCTTTATTATTTCAATTTGAAATAGTATCAACTGGTCAAAGATGACAGAAAATATGGAATATTTTGAATGCATAAAAAGAATTTCTTGGTTTTCTTATAATTCTTCTACTCCTTTGATTTTTTTTTCTTACAATTTATAAAATATTTTCCTTAGTGGGAAATTTTTCTAGATTTTAAACAATTTGCACTTAAACAAAGTGAAATATATTTACAACATATAGGACCATATTCGGGAAATCTGGCTACTTATGGCTAATGCTAGGACAATTAACACTGTTGATAACCGGTATCATTGCAATCATCATCCTTCGACATCGTCTCATTCCATTACGTTTGAAACCTGAAATTGGTGTTCCGACAAAATACAAATTTGGCACTTTTTATCGACTTTAAATAATAAAAATTGTCTCTGAGTAATATTTTCGGTGGAATATATGCTATCGTTCTGTCGTGATAACAAGAAATAAAAAAATTCAAGAATTGAATCAACTATCTGAAATGAATGGAACAGGTAAAGATTCGTTGAAATGAAAAAAAAAACAATATGAAATAACTTAAAGGCGAGAACTTCTGCAACAAATATCCGTTACAAGCAAATATCGCTGCATAGAAAGCTGTTAAATGCTCATACTCTTAAATTTCAAAGTACTAAATTACATTTAAATTTATTAGCAAAAGTAATGCAAGACAGATATTTCAGCGACAATTCCGAGAAAGTGAATTATTGGATACATTTGAAATGTGGCTGGAATTAGCAACAAGAAAATAAAGCTAATAATAGTAAGGATTAAATGGAAAGAGTTACGTTACAAATCTAACCAAAAAATTGAATGCAGTCAAACGAATGTGTAGGATAATGAAATGCTTCTTAGTGCGAAACAAAATAAAAATAAAAAAGATCAGATATCTTAAGTGAATAATTGCAACTAAAGAAAGTTAAGATAATGAAATTTCAGATGTCGAACTTTAATGCATCCTTCAGTACCTTATCATCTTTTGATATTACTCTCGAAATGGAATAGAAAGAAACCTGAAAACAGCGAATTAGATTATTACAATTTGACTAATTCAAAAATGTCAACGTCGCTAACAATGTTGCATTGTATTGCAATCGAATAAAATTATAGGACTCTGTCAACTGTCCAACAAGCGCAGTTTACGTTATGATAACACAAAGTAAGCTAGAATCTTTAAGAATTTTACTAAACATGAAAATTAAAAGTTTTACCTTGTTATTTTTTAAGTTTCGGAAATTTCTACACGTTAAATCCATTAGATAATGATTTTACTGCGTATCAAAATTACGAACACATGAAGAGAATGTCATTAAATGATAGAATAAATGATCAATAAGTAAGGGGAATAGAAATAGATGAATTGATAGAACGGTAAAAAATATAATTATGCCTTACTAATAAACCAATCAAAACAAATATAATATTAATAATAATAATTGGTCATCAATACCGTTACATCTCAACTATAATATATCTTTCAAACAATTTAATTCAAATATTGATTTTCACTTCGAAAGGTACAACAACGCTTATTTCTCGAGGAAGTTTTAAACTTCTTTATGCGATCATTTCACATCACTCTGTATGGAATATTGCGCACATTCATTGATGACAGTTGCAATGGAAATATTAAATGCCATCTAATAATCTTAACTGAATCTTTTATATTATAGAATTCTAAAAAAAACATGCCAGAATTTTACTTTCCGACTAAATTTTATTTTGATACAGTACTTTGGATTAGTTGCATTCCCGTTACAAGAATTTATTCTTATTATCAAATAAAAAAAAAGAAACAATAATGACAAAAATACAAATATCAAAATGGCTTGGTAAACGTGACTTTTGTTATAGAAGTACAGTAATATGCATTCATGAATGCACGTACGCATATGCAATGTGCAAGAAGAAACAAACTTTTCCATTCTGCTCTCTTCCTATTTTCTCTAATAGTGTAAGAGAAGAGGAATTTAGCAGAGATTTGTTGCTGACAGATTATCCTGTCAGAACTTTTCCAAACACTCTCCATTTCTGTCCCTTTTCTCTTCGATATGATGTTGATTTTTTTTTTGTTTTTTTTTTGTGAAGTAGCATTTTTGATTCGATATTTGAGTATTGGATGAAAATATTGACAAGTAACTTAGAGGTTATCTTATGAACTTTATCATTTCACATCATAGATTCTCGTTATTTCTCTACGTTAATAATTAACTCATTTATTTCTGTCATACAAATCTTTCCTAATCGCTGATTAACAAATATTTTTTATATTTTTCAGTTACGAAGGCTAACATTTCTAGTTTATTTGTTTCAGTGCTATCTTTATTTTATGATTTTATTATGAATTTTAGAGTGTCTGGTAATTTAGTCAAATTCAGATCAGTCCAAAATTGAAATGTATTTGATGTTTATTTTGAAAAAATATTTTACAGTGATAATAGTACAATAATGTTCTTTTACCGAAGTGTCGTTTATTAAACTTTCGATAAATTATCAAGTCTGCTTAGATAAATTATCAAGTCAGATTTCATCTAACAAACAGAAATGCGATTCAAATTTGCTGAAAAAAATCTTCTACTAACTTTCTCTTTCAAATGATTATTTCAGCACAGTTCCTAATTGGTAAAATGGAAAAATTAATTGATCATTTCAGGTGAAAAATGTCAAGGAGGAATTTATTAGATAAATTGTCTTTCCAGGATATCGATAAAAGTTTGTCCTTCGTTTTTTCCCTTTTCAATTTGATAATTTATCAAACAATTTGCAGTTTTCGTCCACAATATCATTTATTTTTTATTCTGAATCCATTTAGTGTAATTTGATTTATTAGCAATTATAACTGTTTAGATGGCTACTAATGATAACATTTCCGTTATAAAAATTACTTTAGTATTAGGCGAAACCAGAAGAAAGCCAATGCCATCACAGGAAAGGAATAACGATGAATTGCTCCAAGGTTATTTAAAAAAGTGATTTCTACACTTTTTTATTTTCTCATTCACAGCAATTATTGAGTTTAATTTAAGCATTTTCAAAAGTGGGTTGTTGTACAAGCTTTTCTGATCATAGTCAATGTAGAAATAAGCAGAAAACTATAAATACTAGAAGGCTCCTTAGCTTATGCATGGTATTAGACATTGAAACTGTGTCGAAATTTCTCCATCATGATCATTTTAACCATTGTAGGATATGATAATATGAAATATAGTCAGAACCGTGAAACAATAAAAGCTACCATCCATAGCATGGTTCAAAGTGCAGATTTAAAACCGCATGAACAGTCACCGCAACGCGAATGTTCAGGATCGTCTAATGTGCAAATCTCTGTTAATAAAAGCTGGGAAAAAGTGTTACCTATAGAAAAGCAAAAGTCAATTGACCAGCCACTATGCTTGCAGAAGACTAAGGTAACTTTCCTTTTTTCTGAAATGCTTTATGCATGTCAAATCAGATTATAAAATGCTAAACTATATAATCACTTTAAAGAAAGATGAAGCTCAGATGGGACTAATATAGATTAAGCATAAGGGAAAGATGAAAGATGATATTGCTAGTACTATATTCCGCTCGAAAATAAAAGATTTTTGATCAGGTATGTATTATCATAATTTTATGATCATTCCAAGTAAACGAGTAGAATCAATTTCAGAAGAAAATAACTTTTATTAGTAAATTCATTCCTCTTTTGATTTTTCAATAAGCTCATTTGTTTGCTTCATTTTTGCTTTTTTTTCAGCCAAAAAATGAAGCAGTGGAATTGCAAATGGAAGGAAATATGGGCTCAGATATTTTACGACGGAAGAGATTATCGCGACAAAGGAATTCCGCTCTTTCCAAGGTATTTAGATTTCTCCTATAATTTTTTTATATTGTTCAACTTTCCAACTTTTTTTTTTGCATAAAAATAAAATGCACATCCGTCAATGTTCTGTTGGTTTATCTCTTTGCTGCTTTATGAACGGTGGAAATTTCAAAAAGTTTTGCAATATTCACACTTTCTTTAGAACAGAAGAATGTTAGACTCTCTGTCTGTATTGGAAGGTGACGATGAATGCTTAAAATCTGCGGTTGAAGGTCAGGTAGTTGAAGGTCAGAGTCATTTAGATCATTTTTGAATACCAGCTAAATTGGAATTTGGTTTCTTTCACAATATTTTATGTTAAATTCATATTATTCATCACTCTTTACTGCAGTTAGTGTTTATTTGTTTTAGGGATTTGTTTTCAGGAAAAGCAGAATCTCTTTCTCTAATGGAGCTTTCGAATAAAATAGTTAATTTTGCTGTTGTTCTGAATAAATGGACAGATAGGAGATGCGAATTATGCAATACCAGACTTACCTCTTTCAATTTGATTAAAAAGCAGACGCAATGGTGCTCAAAAACTTGCAAAACACTGAAGTTTTTACAGCAAGACAGATCAACCGCAGCAGGAAAAGGTTATACTTCGGTTTTTTTTTTGCGAATTTTCTTCTGTTTTCGAAATTATCAAAAGACATTTATTGGAAAGAAAAAAACGCATCGGTCCATAATTTAAAAATTTATATCATTTTTAAATATTAACACATAACGCATTACATTCTAGAACTTTAAACTTTTTTTTTCATATCCATTGACTATAGAAAATTAATACATTTATAAGGACTTTTTACAAGTTCTTTCCTTGTAACTATTATTTACACTTATTATTTATGCTTAGATAATATTAAGTCTGAAGAGGACGCTAAGAACATTATGAGATTCTATCATTCATTATCATAAGGCATTATCATCATTATCATAAGAAAGGACTTCAATAAATGCTCACTAAAACAAATATGTGCAAGCATAGCTTTACAGTTCTTGAAACTTTTTTTGAGGATAGAAATGATATGAAATCTGCTCATGCCTACAATACACTCCGAAAATGATAATTCTGATAAATGAAGTTTATTATTTCATCAGTTAATCAATGATTTTAAGAGGTTTATGAAGAAGGCAGAATGAGAAATAGAGATAGTAATGTGAAACAAGACAAATATAGAGGGACGATAAGAAAATAGGTTGGTAAAATTTTGCTTTGAAAACTTTGTTTACAAAGATATTAAAAAGTTATTGTTCTTCTTTAATTTTGTTTTAAAATTCTGTTCATATCGTGTTAGAAATTGTTCTTTCAAATAGACTCAGTTATAGTTTAGGTATGCTTTCATGATAGTAAAATTTCTGATACAATTACATCATGCATATATACAATTTTTTTAACCAAGTTTTTCTCTTTTTTTGTTAAAATCTGATGCTGTAAAAATGATAAAACGCACAGTCAAACAGTTAGAAAAATGCTAAATTTGGTAAGCATCAAAAAGTATGAATTTTCTTCTTGTTTTAGTTTAATTTTTCGTTAGTTTTAATACTATTATTTCGTAATTATTATGAACTAAGGCGCATGTTTTACCTTATTTCGACATGTATTATTTGCAAGATGTACTAAACACTACAAATAACCTTACCTTAAACATGAGTTAAATGATTTTTTAAGTTCAGCAGAAAAATGTCAGTCTTGTACAAAAAAAAAAAAAAAACAATGTTCTAACCGTTTGGATGAAACGAATCACAGTACGACTTTTTTTTTCACACAACCTGCTAGCACTCAATTAATCTGCTAATAGAGGAAGCTTTTTTACTTTTGTTTGATTTAGTTTCTGGTCATCGTTTGATGATTTCAGCTCAAACAGTTCTTCATGAGACGTTTACGTCATGCATCTGAATGATAAAATAAACGTTTTTTTTTTTTCATATTCGAACTTATTTTAGTTTCCCTGAATGTTTTACTTGTCTTTTAGGAATTCGCAAGGGAACATTGTAAGACATGAAGTTTAGAAGCCAAAGAGGATGTGTGAAACAAAGTGCATTTACTTTTCTGTAAAATTTTGTTATTAATATTATCGGTAGTTTTGTTAATGATATCGGAATTTTGTTGTTAATATTATCGATAATTTTGTTGTTGATATCATCAATAGTTTTGTTATTAGTGAAGAAAAGTTTTTTAATTTTTAGCTTATAAATACTTGGTAATGATAAGTGACAATTTTTAGCTCTTTTTATTAATAAAAATCACATTTTGCTCATAACACTTTTTGGTTTTCAAAACTTAAAAAAAAGTAAAAACTTCTAAGTAACGATTGTAATTTGCAATTTATTAAATTTTTGAAAACAAAGTGTGCGTGAGCTAAATCTGGACTATTTCATAGGACCATAAATTTAGATATGTGAATCCATCTCGACAACAAAATTGTTGATTTTTCTTTATAATTGACCAATGTTTTATATTGTACTATAATCATTTTAATAAAGAATATTTATTGAATCCTTTTCAAAACTACGAATAACCTTAAATTTTATGAATGCTATAATTTGGAACTCCTTTTATAGCAACTTTTAAAAATTGTTATTTCTTACATAATTATGAAAAAGTATACTATATAGAGATTTGTGTTTTGCTGTCGACCTGAATTATTGGAAGTATTTTCTTTCTAATATGCGATAAATAAGCTGCAGAGAACTTTTTTTTACTATGCAATATTATAATTTTATTCTTTATAACTTTCGTATCTCTATTTTATCAATATTGAACATTATGAAGTCAAATGTCTGAGAAGCCTTCCTTCTTTTAATTCTTAACTAACTACTTTCTCTTTCTCTTTCTCGTGAAATCAAAATGATATAAATTAGAATTGCATTTTTAATTATGATAAATTTTTTGGATATATAATAATTAAAAGGAAATACTACAGCAAAAACAACAAATATCATGACAAACGAAAATTAATTTTCAATAGTTGTGATAAAATTTCGAAATATAATTAATACTTACTCCTATAATTTAAGGAGAAAAGTTTTTATACAAATTCGACTCTTATCTTCTCATAATAGATGATGATGGGAATAAGTTTTAGTGATTACTTGCTATTTTTACGATTGCAAAAATTTCAATTTACGAATAATTTTTGCTATTTTCCGATATTTTTATTTCTATATAATAAACATTTTTTAATTAAAGATGATAATGATGATGACAGTAACAGATGACTTTGATTTGAGAGATTGTAACGATCAGTTATATTCATCCGTATAGCACCAATAGATCATCAGAGAATTGTTTGCTGTGTTGTAGAATATTGGTATATTATCGGTCGTTTCAGTCCGCTCATTAATTTTTAGTTATAAATTTCTCAAAATCTTTTTTTAAAAGGACATACATTTTTATTTTATATTCTCTAAGATAGAAAGGAATAGCTTAGAATTGTCATAAATACTGGGATACTGATGTGAATACAAATTTTAAATTTTTTTGAGGATGTGAAAATGGTGAATTAATATGGTGTGGTGTGTTGTCGATTTAAAGCGTAATATTTATCAATGATAAGATTAATTGTAATGAATATTGTTGAAATAGAAGTGTTAAATTATGAGAGAGTGATAAACAGATAAAAATAATAAATATTATTCCATTTCAATTCCTCTCAAGCATCATTTACGAAATATTGCGAATGATAGCTTAGCTTCTATGCAACGTCAACTTAAATAAATTTTCAATTCTTTTTATTATCTGACATTTTCCTTCCGTCTTTTCACTTACAATTCGAAGGATTGATTCTGTTTTATTGTCTTCAATGATAAATTACTGAAACGAATTTTGCTTTGTGAAATTCGAACTTCTTATTCATAATTGATAAGAATTTTAATGTTGTTGTTTAATTCTGAGCTATTTCTGATAGATTTTCAAATATGCATATATAAATGTAAAATTAATTAAAATTAATTTCATCTTTTCAATAGATATTATTAGGGAAGGCTTGCAAAAAAAAAATAAAAATATAAGACTTCATATTTTGCACAAAAAAACTTTGCGTCATACACTTTCGTTGATAAGTTTTCTTAAATTTCTCTAAATAGTTTAGTTTTATATAAACTTTATAATCTTTTTTAATAATCTTTCATTTGAACTTTGGATCCTCCATTTCAAAACATTCATATCTGCAAATATTGTTCACTCCCAAAGGGGCTCAATGACAAGGCCATTCTTTTATTCTTTCATATTTTTAGTTCACAATTTAATAAATAAAAGGCAAATTTTAGTGCGGTAGTTTTTAAATGCTATTAAAAATCACTTATTTTCATCAATTAATCGATAAATCAATCAACCAATCCAATTACATTATTACATAAATACACATCACAGAGTGTAATTTAATTTAATAAAAATCTCTGAACAAGGAAAGGAATTGAAATGAGCAAAATATTTACATGATAAATTAATGAAGAGTGATAATAATGAAATATGAAAATGCCTTTCAATAAAAAAAAGTAATATTATATAAGGCAAATGATGCAATTTTATAGAATTCATCTTTTTAAAAAGATAAAAGACTTTTTATTGAGTAAAAAAAGAAGAGAAAATAATGCTCGCATTAAAAACTTGAAATCATCAAAACTTATAATAAATCTGAACAAAAATGATTATCAACAAATTTTGATGCTATCAGTAGCAGAATTGAAACACACACACATTATATATATATATGTAGAAACAATTAAATTTTGTTAAATACAAATAGAAAATTTGATCAAAAAAAGATTGCAATGCATTGCAAAAATTAATTTCAATTTCAAACAAATTATTACTAAGGTATTAAATGATATTTTTATGGTACCGAATAATTTATTAGTTGGAATATTTAAGTCAAGAAAAGACTTGTCAACAATTACACGAACAAATGCTTATTTCGACAAATGTTATTATTTCGAGATTTTTCGATCAAATTATGCACAATTTTTTGAAATATTATATGAATGTTACATATAAATTAATAGGTGACTAAAATTCATAAATTTCAGAATGTTTCAACAATTAAAAACTTATTAAAATCGGGTCGAGGCATGTTTTTGATTAACATAGCACTTATTATATCGCAAATTTCATGACCTTATACTTGACTATCACGTGATTGCTGTTGTTGTTGATCATTGGGTTGCATTTGTTTGCAATATTGTAGCAAAATCCTTTGATAATATTCACGTGGCGTTAATGTCCTTCCTGTACTGCATTTACTCGTATTTAAATCCAATGATTCCATACTTGCTAATACACGTTCCGATACGAATGAGAGCGTACGTGGATGCTCAATCCATTTGAAATAATAAATATCAGTTGGTACATATGGACGACCATCTGAAAACAACAATTCTTAATCAAAATTTCCACAAAATTAACAAAATTGGATTATTGCTAATAATTGAAAAAAAAATCATTTATTCAAACAAACACAGGTTTAATTCATTTTTCTCATATTATATTCTAATCCGATATGTATAAGTGCTATCGTTTGACATAACATAATTAATTGATAGGCTAAAATTAAGCAAATAGAAATAACTCGAAATTAATACCTATTACCCATTCTATCTTTTAAATAAACTTTAAAAAAATTACCAATCCAATTTAAATCAGGTTGTCTATTATTAATCAGGCATTCAAATAAATATTCTTCTGGCAATTGAGCTAATTTATTAATCTGTTCTGGAGTAAAGCCATATTTCTTTTGAAGAAATGCTACATAACCAAATACCTAAAAAAAGCATCTGCCTATGACCAAGCAATATCATTGCAGCCTTTATTTTTCCATGGGATCCTTTTCCAATAATTTATTGCATATAAATAAATGATTTAACAATGAAGATTACACAGCAATATTAAAATGCTTGGCTTCTTAAAATATTTTATCCCTATTAACCGATTATAAATTAGGCCACTAAAGTGTCAACTGATATTAATAAACTAAAATTGCCATAATTGGTCTAATTTACAGAAAAATATTACTTTAATCTATGGTAATTACGATGTTGAAGCTGTATGCAACAAAATAGTCCATTTGATATAAACGATGTGATAATATTACTAATTTAATTAAACGATCGTAATTACAGTAAAAAAAAATTGAATTTGATTGCAATCACTTAAAGCTGTCAGTCGAATGAATTAACTGCTAAGTTTTCCAATGGAAAATAAAGGAACAGAATAAAAAAGAATGTAAAAGCTGACTTCTCCAAGATGTACAACTTTATCACCAATCATCATAAAACTGCGTCCTAAACTTCGACCATAGAAATGAATATCACGAATGTACTCGCTTCCCACCAAATCTATAATTTATTCAGTCAGCTAATTTTTGAAATACTATAATTTCTAATTTCCTAAAATAATAACAGTTCAAATGAAGACATCCACTAAATCTATAATTTATTTATTCAAACTATTTTATAGAATATTATAATTTTTTAATTTTAGTAAAAAGAAGAGCGCACCAATGCACATTGTTGTAATAATAAGGCCAATAACGATATACATGAGCGTTGCTGGTAGAAAGTCCGCATTCTGAGGTACAATATCTCCAAAACCTGTAACCTCCTTTCTCGAATGCATTATGAATTTCTAATCGTGAATTGGTCTTCTGGAATTACACTGCAAGTAATTTCTTTTTTTGTGGCTTTTGATCATTGATCAATTAGCTAATTATATTTCTCACTTACAAGTATTATTTGCATTTAAAAATTTATTGTTAAACAGAATTTCAGTGCAGTATAAGCGAATAACTTCACGACAAACCAATAGTTGTTACGGTAACGAAACAGAAGTAAAACGATTCCATAAATGTCCAATTTTCCCAAAGTTGCATAAGGCATGCACCACCAGCAGTATAACCTGAAAATTTTTTTTCCATCCATAAAAAATCTATTATTGTATTTTCATAAACAAAATCAAATCTGACTAACTTGAAATTTTTGCGGATTTTTCGAAAAATTAAATCAATAACCTATCATAATAACAAGTACAAATAGAACAGAAACGCGTCTATTCCGATGTAATTCGCTTTCCTCCAATTCATCCGCTCGTGCTTCCGTATCTTCAGAAAATGTTTTCTCACTTTCTTGTGTGTGTATTTCTGATATATCTGCAAAATTATTCGAAACTTTCATTTATATTAAATTAAACCATTTAACAACATTTTACAATAATTATCATTATCAACTGATAATTTTGAAAACAAACAATTAATTATAATTATTCGCACAAATTACATTAACAAAGTTACGACGCTTTTTGTATTATTTTTGCATGCATTATTAAACAAATAACTTTTTTTCAATAAAAATAATTCCAATTTAAATTTATTATTAATTTTTCTTCTCAACAATTCACTCATACAGCTCTTTAACTCATTATTTCATTCTTAAATAAACAATTTGAATAGATGCAATTTTTGCAATGAACAACTCAAAATACATTTTACTTATAATATTTTTTAAGGATTTGCAATACAAACTGTTGAAATTGATCTAAAGAAGATCAATCAATATTTGATATGATAGCATACCTTCAAATGTGCCTGCTTCAGAAATAGTATCAATGTGATTCTGTCGTCGTCGTTTTAATCTTTTAACATTTGCAAATTCATTAACCGAAACTTTTATTGGTTGTTTCTTTTTCTTTCTGGAAATAAAAACAAATATTATCGAATTTCATTAAGGCATATTAACCAAATAAATCACTAAAATTTAGTTAATTTGTAGTCAATGTTCTTTTCAATTAATCATAATTTAGATTTATAATTATGAATATTCAAAAATTATTATCATAGTAATTAAGGACAGAGTTTTTAACCTGACAATAGGAATACAATTGCAACAGTATATGCAGAATTGTGCCGATTTTCGAAACAGCTCCAAACGTATCAATCTCATCGTGTAATGAATCCAAACTATACCAGCTTTAAAATTTATGAATAAAAATAGAAATTAATTTTATTTGTTTCTATCTTCATTTTTTAATATTTTCACTTTACTTTAAAATGATGTTCTTCCTCATCCAAAAAAAATATAAATTCGGATGGCTTCTCATAAAGAATCAACAAATAATGTAATTTAAAGTTCAGTTAGACAAATCAAAAAAGATAAAAAAGGCAAAATAACAATCCCATTTCGAAAATTTTTTGAAATTTATTGACTACTTAAGTTCAATTTTCTTTTACATAATTCAATACTCAAGAAAATAGATAAATAAATAAAATGCAAAACACAATTTTGAAAAAAAAACATTTGAAATGTAATAAAAACGAAAATTTAGTAATACCTGAGAGGAACCGTCCGATATCAGCAATGGTGACAAGTATTAATGGAATACCTAACAGTGCATACATAAGACATGCTATACGACCTTCATTTGTTCTCGGTACTATATGTCCATAACCTGAATTCAAATTCAAGTTCAAATTTATTCAAAAATATTACATCGTTCATTTTAAAGCTTAAAATGAATGTTAACGCTTGATATAAAATTTTAAAGAGGATTAAATTTGAGCAAAAGTTCAACTCCCAAATGTATTCTTATATTTAAATTGCTATTAAATTGGAATTGGCAGTCAAAATGAACACAGTGGAATATTATGGATAAAGCTTGTTGTAAAAAATTAAAAATTCAAGTGATAAGCAAGCTAGAAATCTTGCAAATGGAAAAAATTCATATCATCTTCTTGGTCAGAATCGCAGCCACTCAATTATCAGCTTTCAAAGTTTCAGATTCTAAGGAAGAAATTGCAATTCATTACACTTCGCTTTAGTGTTAATTTAAATTTGTGAAAAAAATTTTTAGACAAAATGGATATTAAATTTTAAAAGTCAAATTTATTTTGTTTTGGTGTTTTTCGAAGTATTAACTGACCGTTTATTTTTATGCTATGGTATCAGTTGCAAAGAAAAAAAAGTACTAAAATGAGCCTATTCCATACTTATACATTCAGAGGTAAAACGAAATAAGCAAAAATGTACTTAAAAAATATAAACGGAATAATTTAAAGTTTTATTCATAACGAAATATTTACCAATGGTTGTGATAGCAGTCCATGAGAAAAATACGCTTGAACCGAATGACCATTTCACCGGTCCAGCACCTTTGATTATATCATCGGGTGTCATGTAATTCTTCGTATAATCAATAAATACATCACGAATTACATCATTAATACTGCAACTATCCGAATATGGTAATTTTGAAATTTCGAAATTAAATTTAATAAAATTATTTTCTTAATCAATTTAGCAATACAATATACAAAATTAAAATGATTAATTGCAAGAAAATTTTAGTCTCAGAGTCTCTTTTTTCACATAAATTTTTTATTCAAGCTATCAATCTATTAAAAGTGGAAAATTTAATGTTTACATATTACACTTATACAGCTTCAAAACATAGAAACCAATAATGAGCGCTATTACTGGGCTAATAGTGCTTCAGATACATTGCCGCCAAGATTTTTGGCATGGAAAGTTAGTTCACTCAATTTCTCTTTATCAATCCAAAAATTCTTTTAAGATGACAAAGTCTCATCTGTTTTAATTTTACGTAAAATATTTTCAAAAGAAAATAAATCTATAAAATCTAAAATTTATAGATTGTTTGAATTTTTAAATTGCTGTTTTTTAGATTAAAGTTATCGAAATTTTTTATGATAAATGAAAAAATTCTTCAAAATGAACTATTTTGTTCAGTCTATATCAAAATGTTCTAAAAAAAGGAAAGGGAACAAAATTGCTCCTCAAACATATGAAGTATTTGTTAAGCAAAATTTCTTAGCATTTTAATCTAAAGAGAGAAAATGAACCCGAGATGCGCAATTCTGGACCAGGTTTCAAATGTCACTTTTTCAGTATTGTTTTGTACATTGACTAGCATCCATAAATTATCGATAATTTTTTGCTTTAAAACTTCAATTCGATGGGCAGTCTCGTTACGAGTGTACACTTCGTATGGCATTTCAAACTAATAATAACTGATATTTTAAATTAATTCAAAATTTGTAAATTTAAATAAAGCTATATAATAATTTTAAGATAAAAATTATCGATGAGAAATGAAAAGTAATGCATTACAGTAATGAAAAAAATAGAAGAGAAAATAAACAGACATGATGAAAGATAGCGGCACCGAGAATTGTATAGGCTGTCGAGAGGAGTACAAGACCAATATGTGGCAGCACTATGCGTAATTTCTACAATATAATTAATTAAATTTAAATTTGCAGTCTAGCAAGCGATTGATTAAAAAGTTGGCTTTCATATCTCTTCAAAATTTTCTTCGAAATCCTCCTCTCTTCGAAAATTCATATCTATCGGATAAGAATAATAATACTAATACTGCAGGCATTCCGCCAAATTAGCAAATTACGGTAAACAAAAAAAAAAGCGTGATAATATCGTGAATCAAAAATATTTGAATTGAAAATGCAAATAAAAGAAAGCATAACCTGTCGTATTTGATATTTTTGTCTTTTGATCGCAAAATCAGTTGGCCTTTCTTCATCAATTTGTTCCAAAATTCCACCTTCCCCATCTTTTTGTCCTATTAAATAATTCAAACGCTCAGCACTGTAAATGAGAATTCCATTAAATTTTACTTTTTACCTTGAAATGAAATTAAATCTCTTTGAATATCTTTTTTAAATACTTCTTTGATTAGAGAGAGATAAAATATATAAATACTATTGTAAGTGAAAAGCGATTATCATTATTAGTGATTGAAGATTCAATTTTTGTCTCTATTAACAATCGAAAATATCACGAAAGCAGTTCCTTAGAAATTTTCCTAAGCAATAATTGATCTTATTGGAATTTTGTAGTCGATCGTATTTTTATCAAAATTCAGAACGATTAACAATTTAAAATTTTTCGTAGAAGAATAATGAGAGATTTCTTGTATCAGCAAGAATTTTCATATGTTCCGTTACTCTCAAATTAATCTTTTAAATGTTCCTGGAATTCATAAGCAATTAATTAGTATTAGCAAATTTGCATGAAGTTCACCACATTTTAATTAACATAAAAGTTGATCAAAATTTATCAGCATGAATATGAGCTATATCGTTCACAAAAAAATGGAATTTATGATTATTTGCAATATCTCAGAAATCAGCGAATATTATTTCCGCTCTCAATACTTTTATAAATGATAAGAGTTTAAAGAAGAAATTAAGAGAAAAACAGAAAAGCTGATGAGAAAAAATATGGAAATGAATAAACTTGCCATAATGCTTTTTCTCGATACAGATTTCTCAATAAAATACGTGCCTGTCTGAGTAGAGACATAATATGGACAACCTTACTCAATTTTCAGGCTTATACTTAAATGCTCATCACGTAATGCCACCCCTTCATTTTCAAATTGTTTCCAATGCATTATTTGCATTGATGGAAAAAAGATAAAATAATGGAAAGTAGCTTCGTACCACATAAAAGCAACCGTAAATTTCATTTATGTTAGCTATTAAAAATTTTCGCCTGAAAATTCATCACTATCTTTAGTCAAAATTAACTTTACAGTCAATTATCTAACTGTAATAGGATTATCTTACAATTGAAAGATGTATATTGAGATAAAATTTCTGTAAAGTAATTCCTGCATAGTATTTGATATTTATTGATCAGGAAAAAAACAATCAGTAATTTATTTTTCAGCATAAAAAGCATGAAAAGTTCATTTTGTTTCTCAAGTCATTTATTCTGATCTTTTTTGTACTTTAGATGTCTTATGCAAGCTTTACGTAAATTCAAAGCAATGTAGTGCGCTAATGTTCCATATTTCAAATAATACCTTCCTTTATTTTTCAAGGTGTTACTTAGTACAGGTGAAAAATTTTTCAATTAAATTCATTTAATTGAAGTGCAAAATTTTTTACTTGATCAATTTCTGCTTGCAGAATATAGCAGAAATGTGGTATCAAAACGAATTAATAATTATTAACATTTTAATTCTCATTTCATCTTTATTGAGTTTTAATATAATTTTACGGACCATTACTTCAAATACAATTTTGTTTCATTCTTTGCTATCTCACATCTCTTTCTTTTCCAATTTGGTCACATCAAAAAGTAAGTGATATGAGATGAAATAACATCAATTCAAAGATGCAACTTTAAAATGCCTTATGACATTTTTTCCGAACTTAACTTGACATTAATATTTTTTATAAATTAATTGAAAAAAAAGTTGACTACACTTACCTCTTGAAACAATAGTTCAAGTACACATTCCTGTCAGGGTAAACATTCTAAGATTAGGAATTTAAATTTAATTAACACTCAACAACTATCAATACTTTTAATCATAATGATGTACCTTAACTTAATGTAATTCAATAAGAAATATAAATGAATTAGTCCCGAGATTTTTTGCTTTCTAAAACATGTTTTCATAATTTTTTTAGAAGTTACGGTGCTTGTCATTTTAAAATTCAAGCAAGTTAATATATATATGTTTTTTTAAAGCTCATTTCTGCAAATAATATATCCATGTCCCATTCTGAAATTAAAAACTACAAAAACAAAAACACATAACGAACTATAGAATGGAAACCGAAAAGTGCTCGATTTCTTTTTTTGCATCTTTTCAGATAAGCACTCCCACGAGATAAGTTTTTCTCATCTAAGCCTTTCTTTTCCATAACCATCCCAAAAACTTTCATCTCTTTACTAAATAGGATAACTTAATCCATCAAGATTAATGTGTAAACGAAAAAAAATTCAAAAAGCACGAGCAAATTCATAATTGACCTTTGGACCTGAAGAAGAAATTTCCAATGTCATTTATTATAATCACTTATTTTCCAGAAGTTAGCAAAACACATAATAATTTTTGTGTTAGCTTTTAAACTTTGCAAAAACAAAACTTATATTATTTGATGAATTATTACAAAATTTTTAACTCTTTTTTGAAATAAATGATAGATTGATAAAATTGCAGTGATATAAATTTTGCTATCGATGATTGAAAAATAATTCATAAAAATCTTTATTTTTGAATAGCGTTTTAAAATGATGAATTTTTTAAGCCATACGCGTTTATGAATTTACGAAAGTACATTGAATGTATGTTTGCATTGGTTATTTAAAAACTAAACAAATAAATTTTTGTATTTTAATTATTTTGTCAGTAATTATTATGACAAGCTTTAGCAAAAATAAGAAATATATGTCGAAAATAATTAGCACAGGATTTGTAATATGAAATGATCATTATTACTTTTACATATCGCAAAATAAACTTTGCCTTAATTGCTATGGATTTGCTGTGAATGTGAATTGTGAAATTCTACAACATTTTGTTTAAGAATAAGCTCACTTACTGTCTGAGTACTATTTTTCAGACATAAATTCCATTAAACTAAGCAAAATGACATAATGTGACAATGCGCAATAATTCTTTTGATGATAGTAAATTTTTAAAAATTTTTATTAGTTAATTTTTTCGAGATATTATTATTTACTCATCAGCAATCTGGTTATTTTCAAAAATTTTATCTATTGCTTACAACAATGCCTATATTCTCTACGCTATGGAATAATATTTAAAATGCAAATTATGCAACAATACATAAAATTATTTGTCAGGCATGAAATATATATTTTATCATTTAGAATGAAATATGATGTTATCCTACTTATAGATTCCAAATATTCCTTTGGTGGCATTGAACTGATCGATATCATCCCTTAGTATTGGTTAACATCCATTTTTTCTTGCTAAGTAACTATAAGAATTGCAAAAATATATTTTGGAATTATTTGCAAATCTTGGAGTAATTAAAAGCTGCCGAAAAGAAAAAAACATGACTGGAGCCTATAAATCTATTTTTCAATTGAAAGTTAAGCCCATATTCTAGGAGATAAAAGAAACTAATAACAAAAGATTATTTTTAAAAATATAAAGATTCAGAAAAATATATTTGAAGCAATCCGAAGTTAAAAATACAACTATTTGACATTACTCCAATATCGTAAAAGACCATCCGAATCCTAAATGAATCATATTTCTCGAAAAATTCTATAATCTTCTGGAAGTGAACTGCTCAAGAATAAGCTTTTTAAATAAAGGTTAGCGATTGCTATTTTTAAATTCAGAAATTGAAGTAATTAGCCTTGAAAATAATGCTAATGTAAACCTCATATGATTCGTAATGTTTCTGTTGTTTTCATTTCTGATCTTAATTAAAAGACAAACTTTTCTAGTGCTTCAGGAAGGACTGATTGTATTTTCAAGTTTTGTCGAACTTTTTTTTTATAAAAACAGCAAAACTCTAATTGTCAATAGAAAAAAGTGTAATAGATTACATATTTAAATGTAAAACAAACGATGTGATTCAAATCCCAATGAACTAAAGTATATAAAATATATGAAAACATTATGAGAGGAAATGTCTAAATGAAATTATGGAAAACATTTCCTTCAAATGCAAATAAATCTCTGCTGACATAATTAATATTGATTTAATCATAGCTCAATTTATCTCAATTTAAATATTTAAATTTATGAAATATCTTTGGAAATAATTGATAAATATGATGGTTACAATTCGCTATTATATATATATTAATCCTTCAAGTAACGAAGTTATATGAATTTCACCTTATTAAATACTTTTTACTGACCAATTTATGAAGGCGTAGTTCACGTTATGATTAAGCAAATAGTTTTTTGTAAAATTACGTTTCGTTTTATTGGATGTTTTAAATATTGAAAAACTTAATAAATAAAGTTGCAATTTAAACATGTTCAAAACCTTCAAAAAATGGAATTTATTTAAATTTTAATTTCGGCATTTATTTTATTTTGACAATGTCATCATCTAAAATTCACATTTTTATTTTATTGCAATTAATTTAAATTTCGATAGTACAGTTTGTTTAAGTTATTATTCCAGGTTTAAAATTAATAAATACAGCAAAATAAATGGAAATATCGAAATCCTGCCACTCGTTTCATTTTATTTCAAAACTTTTGAAATATTTATCGTCAATTCAAATCATTTGCAGTAATAACTAAGGAAGCAGAATTTAATAAGCATATCAACTGATATAACATAAATTATTGCATGGATTTTTTTCGCACATCACCACTCTGTTGTAGAGTTTTTTATAAGATTTTTTTTCCCAGATTCTTTGATATTTAAGAAATTGTAATTTACGCTAATGCATCAGCAACAAGAAATTAACTTCCCAAAACCTACAATAGTATCATTTCATCCATAATGTCTTTTTTTTGCGCATTTCTTCTTTCTATACGAAAGATATGATCAATTATTTATCTATGGATGAAATTGAAGAGCTAATATTTAGGCCTATAGAATGGGATACCACTTCATTTAGGCATGCAAGTAGAGGTATAACAAAATGAGAAAGGGAGAGATTTTCACCTAATCAAACTATCAATTACGCGAATTTTGTATATGTTACAATGATTTCATACAGAAAGGTCCTTCAATGAAAAGCATAATTTCTCATTGGGACAAATATATCGTCAGGGGAATGTCTCTCTCTCTCTCTCTCTTTTTCCAAAAATGCAGTCCTCATTTCATTTAGACGTCAACAAGCCATCAGATCTTTTTTTCTGTCTATCCTTTCCTCTTTGCTCTAATAAAGAGAAAGAGAGAGAGAGAGAGAGAGAGTTAAAGAAAGATGAGGGGAACAAAAGATGGAAAAAATTTGAACATTTCCGTCAGATTTTTTTTCTATTTATCCTTTTCTTTTTGCTCTAAAAAAAGGAGAGAGAGAGAGAGGGAGGGAGAAAGAGAAAGAGAAAATGATGAAGGAAATAAAATATGAGAAAGATTTGAACGTTTTTCATTTTTCAAGCTTTAATAAGACTATATCTTCTACTTGGCTAAAAAAAGCTTATCAAAAAAAAACTTTTTTTTTTCAAGTTTATGATGGATTTCATTGTATCGTATATTTGTTATTTGAATAATATTAAAATTTACTGTAATAACAGTGATAATAAAATTAAACTGATCATCGTATTAACGGTAAAGAATAAAAAATTTTTTAAAAGATTAAACTAATTAATTATAATAAAATATCGTATATAAATATGTAGTATTTCACTGATAATCATCTCTGTTCATATCTTTAAATGCTTTTTTCCTACTGCATATTTTAATTATGCAGGCGAATAATGAATCTCGACTATCGAAATCAATAAGAGTTTGTACATTCTTGATTTAGTCATTCGGCATTATTTTCAAAATATTGGAAAATGCAAATTAGAAATTAGACTCAATTAAATTCCTGATAGCTTATAAAGTTAAAAAAATTTAAAGTAAAGAATTGAAGAAAAGCTGTTCCTCTCATCAAAAATAATTTTATCTCTGCATTTGTTTTCGAAATAAATTGAAATAAAAATATTGACATACGTTAATTTCAACAGACATAGTTGCTCCTAAAATTTTAGCTCCTCTAAAATGAAACTTATGAGTACTGAGAGATTATTTTGCAAATAATTTCAGTAAAAATTTAAGGAAAGTTCATAAAAAATTTTAGAGTAAAACTAACTGGATATAGTACTTTTAAATTTCAAAATATACTTCAAAAGTGATAAACAACGTGGTGATCTGATTTTACCAAAATCATTTTTGTACCAAACGTTAAATTTCAATTCATCTATCCTTAAATTCAATAAGTCCTAATTGTCAACATATACTAATTGGAATTCACGAAGGATATTTCTCACTCACAGATTCACATCCAACTTCAATTTGGTTCCGATTTTGATTGCTTATAAAGCATCTGCAATTTGAAATCTCATGAAACTGAACAGTATGAGAGTGAGAGAGAGCGAGAGAGAGAGAGCGATGTATCACTTCATTTGTTCAAATTTAATAATTCGATAATAAAGCCAATCAAAACAAACGTTTATTATTATTTGGATTTTATTAACTGCATATAACACTTTTAAGTTTCAAAATATGCTTCAAAAATAACAAATAGCGCGGGGATTTAATTTTACCAAAATCAAACGAGAAAATGAAAATATGTGATCAAATATTTAGCCTCTGGTGAGAAAAATAAGCCAAAAGATGAGAACTGATATTATGATATGAATGACAAATAATGTAAGTAACAATTCTGGTGAGCAAAGAAAACAAATACTGTTGGATGGATGTGTGTTTTAATTAGAATGCAGAAAAAGAATATACGATTACTATTGAGCCTATCGGAGAAACTTATACTTTTAATTAAATTATGTTTCAATCTATAAAAATACCCAGAAAGCTTTTAAGAAATTCACAAATTTGAAATTGTTGAAATTTTGCAAAAATTTGAAATGAAATTATCAAAAGTATTTAGCAAATTTAAGAAATACCATTTTGAAAGCTGAAATGTTCATATTTGCTTTTAAAGGTAAATTATTTGCAAATTTCGACAAGCTTTCAGTTTCTTTAAAAATAAGAAAAAAGAAAGTAGAAGAAACAAGCTTGGAATGTTGAGGAATAAATCAAAATAAACTTATTCAAAATTAATTAACAGTTTTAATTCAAAATGTGTTTTATATTTTTGTTAAAGTCAAAACGCAGAAAATAAAAAAAAATCCAGTTTTATTTTAGAAATACGAATTCCATACATCGCCACCTTTAACAAAGCTTAACTTTTCATACCTTAATTCAGTAATATCTTGTAAATTGCTCGGTAGCCACCGGGAACCAATCGATGAACGTGATCGATAATGCATAGAATAGATTAAATAGAATTTAGCTGCCAGTTCATGACACTATCTATCAACTATTTCTTTTTAGAATTGTAATCCAAATTACCAATTCCGGAATTCATTTCCGAGAGTAATTGTGAAATATGTATTCATTATCTGGAACACGAAGTATCTGTTGCTATAGTTAATGTTAACTTATATGAGCATAAAAATGGAATTAATAATCAGAAAAATTGCGATTCAGAATCTTTCTTGTCCATCAAATTGTCTTCCATTAACAGAATACTATCATTACTGATTATTTTATCCGCGATATTAGCATTTGGTTAGCAGATGTGAATGACTTTTAGCATTTCAGCGCTTTTCCTACTGTGAATATATCGATAGAAGTCATTTATCTTACTTCAGTGAGCGCTTTTCTCCAATGCCACATTCGTTCATAGTGTACATAACGAAAAAGAAAACCAGAATCCCGGGTAAGAAAGATAGAGGATTCGGGATTAATTTAGATTTCACATAATCAATAAAATCAACTATTAACTTCCCGTCAGATTGCATAATTTATATTTCCGTATAAATGAAAGTTTTGAAAATCATATTTATTCGTTATACTAATATTAAATAAAGAAAAAACGAAAAAGAAAAAAGAAAAAATGATTCTTGCCAAAAAAAATATAAGCATGATGGGTAAGGAAATTTGAGTGAAGATGTTGAAATTTTCAAATGCAAAACTGACTGACGTTATTATCCAACCTATCTCACTACCAATCATAATAGCAATAGCACTCATCTAATCCTAACTTTATTACACGCAAACTATCGAAATTCTCAAGCAGAAGTTAGCAAAAAATTTTCCCACTTGGGCGTGTCCTGACCCCTTTTCTTGTTAATTTATCTTCTTTTAGTATCTTTTCAAGTTAAAATTCTCACATTATCAATACTATCAAATAGTAACATCATTTTTTATGTTAATCATCCTTTTGCGTTTATTTACCGATCAATGCATTGTCAAAAGTTTGACCAATAAAAAAAGCATCATTAATTTTTTTTATTGGTTATTTTTCCTATCAGCTTATTTGATATTAATTAAAAATGTACGATACAATTTACAAATGTTACCATTTGCAGATTATTATTTCACAGTGACGCAATCAAAATTGAATAGATGAAAAAGAATAGCGGTGACAGCCATAAAGTTCACTTAAACTTATCATGAAGTGTAATTATTTTATCATTAAGTTAACAAACTGACTGTCTGCGAAATTCTATGAGGCATCAGAATTAGGTTTATAATAAGGAACTCATTACAGATAAGTCTCACAGATTCTGAAATTTGCATGTTGATAGCCATTTCTAAATTTAGCATTTTAATATTTTTTCTCTAAAAAAAACTAGTAAAATAAATTTGGTTTAAACAAAAAAAAATACAGAAATTTTGAATTTTTGAAATTGCTCAAAATTATGAATATAATTCTTTCTATAAGCAAGAAAAATAATAATTTAGCATTGATGGTATCGAAATATCTTAATTGCAAAAAAAGATGAGCTATTTTCTATGAGGAACTGATTACAGAGAAGTTTTTATAGAATTCTGAAATGAGAATTTTCCATCCAATTCGATATGGCGGAAATTATGAGATATAAGAGCATTTGTTGTATGTGTGGAAGTTAAAAGTTATGGAGAGAAAGATATATTTTTAATAAAAACTATGAAATAATTTAAAGAAAGAGCAAAAAATAAAAAGTTTTACTCAGTACGTTGCCAATTAAAAAGCACTTTTTCCGGTTTTTTTAATCTTTTTTCTTTTTTTGTGAAATTTTCTTTTTAAATTAATCAAACAGATTACGACGATGTTCGGTATGAAAGGATATTTTGAAAGGATATTAATGCTATCATATTTTAGTCATTCTCGTCATCACACCTCAAGCCTCGTTGATTGGTTGTAATTTTCTTTCTAATGGACAGTATATTTTACATTAGTAATTACGTAATAGAAGTAGTGAAGGTTAGAGCCAACAAAAATTTGCCTTTTGATTTACTGCCACTTTATAGCAATCCCTATATTTGCATATGACAAAATGAGTTATACTATTTTCGAAAAAGCCTTTAAATGACCATTGCCGAGATGACCACTGTTATCGTTGAAAACTGAGGGATTGCAGAGAATCGAAATTTATTTTTGTATGTTCGTACTGAGAACAAAGGCAATCAGGCCTACAGTCAACAGCTGTGCAGCTGAGGTTAATTCTAAGCTTCGTGCTCTCAAGAAGTATTTTGGCTATTTAAACTGCTAGATTATAGTAGACGCTAAATTGCTATGTGTATCGAACACGGGAATCACATCAATAGCACGTTATGCTAAACTGCTACGTGTATCGAGCGAGCATCATTTATTGCTTGAATAATCTCACGTCCATACTTTTTCATACTTTAGCAACAGTATTCCAAATATTTTTCGAATAAAAAATACCACTAACATTTTCTGTACATGAAGGCGATCAATATGTGACACATCGGTATCACACGTAGTACCGCTGGTTCCTTGCCGTACGGAAAATGACTGTTCTTTTTGTTCACTTTGTGCACTGACATTTGCGGTAAGTGGGCTATGCCGTCGCGTGTGAACTGAAGATAACGCTTTGCGAGATGAAGTAGCCGCCAAAGCTGCTTGCACTCTGGAGGTCATCCGAGTTACCTGAATTTCACTGATGCTATAAGAAAAAAAAAATCTATAAGTTAACTAGGCAAAAAAGCAAAATATTGTTTCCGATAAAATTTTAAAATTGAATTTAATTCTCAAATCTTAAGACCTGAATTTGAAATCACTTAGCCATTTGACATCGAAGATGGCTAGCGCCAAATTTCAATATTTTCCTTCTAGTTAAATTATTTTAGTTCTTTCAGTGTTATTTGACTTGTTTTCAATATTATTTTTTTCCATCATTTATTTGATTTATGATACAAACAAATCATTGAATTTATTTTAATTTCATTTCAATTTCAAAACTAATGCATGCATTTATTTGTATCTGAACTGATGTTGTGCAAAAGCCTCCGAAATACAATTCAACATTCAATTCCAAATTTTTTCTTCTAATATTATATGATTTGATTTTAATCAATCCACTATTTTTCTTAATTAATTCATCATTGAATTTCTCGATTCTTCCCTGCTAACTACGAGGCGCAGAGTTCATGCAATAAACTTTTCCGCATTATTGTTATTCATGAAATTTTCTCCTAAATAGAAATTCATTCTATGTCCAATTTTCATCGGTTCTTGACATTAATGCATTATGCCGCAGTCCTTCGCAACTGCAAATATATTTCGACCGCATGTTAGCTTATTTCACTTAGAAAAAAAGTTTTATTCTGTTATATAGGAGTAACAATTACTTTTCCTATTAAAATTTTAGCATTGGGATTTCATTTTTTTTTCTTTAAATAATAAATCTTGTATGAAATAAGTGATTGAATTAATTTTAGAACAAAAGAAACTGAAATACGATCAAAAAGTAATCAAATAAAAGGCTAAAGTGATAATATTTTTTAAATTAGCAGAAAATGGAAGTAATTCGCATAAATTAATATAAATTAGTAACAAAAGATGAGAGATGTACGTGCAACTTCATTGTAACTCACAGGAAGACTTTGTTAAAATGATATTCTATACTGTATCACTAAAAGTCACAATTATACTTTTGCGCTAACTTAATGTTGTATGCATGGTCTATAAGCAGTCTGAATCTTTATTGAGAGAGGAAACTGTATCATTTTAAATGAAGCACTACCGTACATAAAAAATAACAATAGCGGCTATTCCGCTGTCTACTGATTGCACTTTCTTGCATGCATGCAGTGACTCCATTGCAATAATAAATGCGTTCCATTATAATGATAACTGTTAATATTATTTCTAAACATAGCTTCCGATGCTTCTTAGCAATCTACTAAACCTTTCAAGTCATTCATTCATGCATTCATTCTTCTGAAATAAATGGAATTTTAAAAAGAAAAATATTTTGTTGCAGAAATAAATCATTTCCTTTCTGAATTTAGTAATTTCAATGCTACAATATCTTGACGTGATATTATAAGGTTATCTTTAAGCTATTGCACAACGTGTTGAATTATTGCAGTTCAAACAAGTACGTAAGGGTAATTAAATAATTTTGATAAAAAATTTCGTATAAATATTCATTTGTATTTTTTTTGAAATTTCAACTACAAATTAATAAACTAAGTGCTTATAATTGCAATATATATATGTATATATATATATCTATATATATCTCTTTTTCGACAATAAAAGAGAGAGGTAAAACGAGTGAATTTGCTGATTGAACGATTTTGAACGATTGAACGACTTTATCAAATTAAAGTGTGCCACTTGTAACATCATTGGAATTAATATCTAAACTTAAAGCTCAAAACTTGCCGGAATTACTACTTTAGCAGCAAATAAGACTAATCAAATAAGATAAATTATTAAAAGAGACAAACAAACGATGAAACATTAAGGTTGAATTTTTTATTTTTACAATTTGTTCTATGAAGCATTTCATTCATTTTATTCCAAGAATTCTTATTGTTGTTTAATTTCAATAGTCATTGACATCATATTTTTGTTAAATAGTTATTTTCCTTTTTAAGAAGACAGTTATATCTGTCTTGAGATTTTGGTTAAGTTATCACAGTACTTGAAGTTTGAAATTCGACCCCTATTAAAAATTTAATTTAAATAGTCATATTGCGAACCGATTTTCCTAATTAAGAAGGTTTCAAAATTATTCAATAAAAGTCAGCAAATAAGTGCTAGAATAAAATCTTTCACTGCAGTTAGTCAAGTTTCATTCGAAATTAAGTAAATTTGATTTTTTGAAATTTGCATTTAATAAATTGCTGAAATGGATTTCAGATTTTGTTGACTTTTATGCAAAAGATAACAAAGACTGTTACCGAGACAATGGCAGGGGAAAAATGATTTAGATTTATTTCCATTTAACAGGCATGCCATTCGCAAGGAGTATGTCGATAGCTTTTGAATAAATCATCGCTTATGGCTAAGATTGTCAGATAACAGGCCTTTTTAAGTTTATTCCACTTATAAGGCTATTTAATAAATCCAGCAGCACTTATATTTTGAAAGTTAATTTTAGCAAAATGCATCACAATTGTAACATCAACTTTTTTAATTTAATAAAATCTCAGTATTGAGAAAATATATGGAAAGATTTGCTAATTTTTGAGCTTTTGATCTTTATGTCCAAAAGTATCAAATTGCAATATATAATACTATAAATTAAAATTCAAAATACTATACCCAATCAATTAATTAAATTAATTAATTAAACTTATCTTATGCTTAATGATTGAAGTTCATAAACAAGAATATACCAGTACTTCAATAAAATAATCTTGTTTTCTTTTCGTGAAACTTTCAATGACAAATACAACAAACACAATTACGCCAATCTCGTTTATATATTTTTACGTGAGGTTTTCAAAGACTGAAAAGAAAATGTTTTAACAAATTTTAGGAAATGAAAAAATATTTAGGTATAAGCATTAGAACAAATAACAAGAAATAAATTAAGAAATACATTTGGACAGCTTTTGAACTTTACACACTTTTCAAACTGATTTGATAAATGAAATAAGATTTTAGAAAACTGATTGAGAATTATTCAAATCCGGCAATCGATTTGCATCATATCATTCCAAAAAAAAAACAGTATTGGCAAGAAATTATCATCCATATCAGTTTAATTAATCAAATAACCAATCGAGCATGATTTAACTGATACTATGCAAGAGTACTTGAAATACTATACATAATCATTTCAAACATTTCAACGGCATTCAATGTTCGAGAGCACTATTTTAATTCAATTAATGAAGTAGATGATATTGATGTTTACTTGGAATTATTCAAGGCCCTAAATGATATGATTTCAACACTATTTATGACCTGAATAATCTCACCTGAACATTATTTTGGCTAGAGTAAATCATAACAAACTCACAGATAAATCATAATAAACCTGCCGTTATCATAAATGCATTATTTTGTAGTCAAGTTTTATCAATTGTCATACTTTCAACGTTGAGTAAGACTGTATGATCTCTGATCTGCTGGTATGAAAAATAATTGAGTGATAAAGGATAGGAAAGAAAATACTTGGAGGGAGGTATTCTATAAATACTTCAATGAATGAAGATCATCAGAAGTAACATAAATTTATATTCAAATTAATATAATAATTTCCTAAATTTGTTTATTTCTTAAAATCAAAACGGAAAAACAAAACAATAAAGATGATATCAATAAATTTTTTTTATTTTTAGGATTTTAAACTAGAAATTAATTTGAAAATTTTTTGCATATTAAGAAGTCAAACGTAATGTTAATTTCAAGAAATAAAAAATAAAAATATAAAAATGACTAACGTATGTTAAGAAAACAGAAAATGGATAAGTATATTTGCAATATTTTTTGAGAGTTGCCTTGTCATGGCAACAGTTTCATCGTTTATCACATACACACTGTTTATTTAAATGTAACATTTTTCTTCTATGCAAATAATATTATAATAATTCAAAATTTTTTCTTTTGCATACCGAATAGTTTAATTGATTAATAAAAAAAAGTTAATTATTAGCTGAATAATTTTTATAGAGTTTTTTTTACTCCAAAAGCTGTTTGCAGCAGGATGGATAATGATATCACTAATTTAGAGTTACTGATAACAATAATTATGAATTCAAATTTGGCCATTTTCTCGTGCTATACAAAATCGATAAACGGATACTGTTAGAGATAAATCAGAATAACAAAATAACTCAACAACAATGTTCACGACTTTCCTAATAAGAAGATTGAAATGAAAATTTATATGCTATTTATTTGTTCAGATACAATTTATATCAGAATCGATTTAACTCAAAAATTAAAATCCTAATTAGACTCATCGAGCTTGACTAATTAAATTATGAAACTATTTCTTGTCGAAAATTTCGGAAATTGGAGGAAAATGTGGGCACTTGGAACATATATATAATTTAAGCTTAGAAGATAGAAGCCAAATATTGGCTTCATTTTCATATAAGTTATTGCTAATAAATTTTTTGTTTCAATCTCAGTGAGTATTACAAATTTAATTTTTGCAAATAAATCATTTTCACCAATGAAAAATAACAATTCTTTATTGTTTTATTATCAAAACGAGTCAGAAAAAATTTATAGAAGCAAAAGATCCTTTAAATGCCAAATTTTATTTCAGAAAGTTGACGCTCACATTTCAAGTAAATCTTAGTGCCAAAAAAAAAAAAATTTAACAAACTAAACATAGTAAGCAAAAATATCATAAAACTCGACTTAAATATTTCAGAAGTATAACTCTCTTGTAAACATTAAAAAAAAGATTGAGTGAAATTAAATTATCAGCCTAACATTTTATTATTCATAGATTGGAATAAAATAAAACAATATTTTTCAGCACAGATAAAATTAGGACATAAAGTAACGATATTTAGGAAGTTGAGGAAATCTTTAATATTAGTAAAGCAATTGTGTGAAACATTTAATTAATTTGAAAGCTATCATTATCATTTATATTTGCTACTAAGTAAGATCTGATTGCTTTTCCCAATCACAGGCAATTATTGACTTTGGAAGTTCATAAC